AATGCTGCGAATTCCTCAACAACATATTGTTTTTTATGAAATTTCAAGGCATTCACTAAGCATGAAAGCCCCGTTTACAGACGACGACCTATCCACTTCGTGTTAAAGTAAATTGTCGGACGAAAAAAGATAAAAAAAATTTACTACATCTTTTCCTTTTTCTCGGCACTGCCATTTTGTTGGTCCATATTCTCCGCACTGCAAAAATTCATTGAAAAAAAAGTGTAAGCTATGTCCCACTTCTCCCCCCCCCCCTCCTTATTACTGATCTGATGCAAATAAAATCATATCAACAAGATACCCGTGAGGACAACTGATGTCGGGATCTAATGCCTGTGGTGCCACTAGGAATGCACTCAAATGCTGAGCGAAAGTTGCGCCTGATCCTTCCTTCCTACGCTGCATATTTCCTAGTAGCAGTGTGACCACAACCTGTTTGATGTATATGCGTTTTCTGATGTCACTCGTGATCATCAATTTTCTTGCATATGCCACTCAACTAACACGCCGTTGTCAAATTTGTCAACAACATGGCCTGTACATCGGATTTTGAACTCTCCCGATTGGTCACTATGATATCTAGCACGCCGTTTATTGGACAGAGAGTATATTGCTTTATGTAATCACGAACAAGGTGCTAGAAGCATCAACTATATCATCTTCATCACGCCTATGCATTCGATCTTCTGCTCCAGTCAATAACCATGTTTTACATTCGCTTTTAAGATGTGAGCATGGCCCACCCGGTTCAACAATTTGAAGAGGGCAGCAATGATGTGAAATTTACACAAAATAGGAGCCCTTCCACGTGCGATCTCCACTAGGCCGTAACGTATCCCTAGTCAAGACTGACGCAGATGTCAGATTCTTCCAAGTCAACACCATCTGTCTGCAATTTTACAAGCAGCTACGGTTCTTCGGAATGAGAATTATGTTATTCACGATGTGTAACTAATTTAGGTGCTTCCACTGTGCATTATGGATAAGGAATGAAAAACAAACTTCTTCCCCACATGCCTACTTTAAATGCTTTCCCCTATTCGTAATTCCCTTGCCCCTGTTACTAATATTTCCAGTCGCAATTCCAATCCATCCTGCAATTTACAGCCTCGTTGCAAACTTTGAGAATTATGATCGATCTAAGATATGCGTGTTGCCGAGTAGTCTGGGCGATAGAAGCGATAGCTGCATATTACAAACACAATCCGACAAAGTTCAACAGATAAATGATTCAAAACTATTCAGCATAAAAAATTAAAGCAAACGTACAATTCCTGCATCAAATCACCAATTCGTTGAATTGGCTTTGTTTCTGATTCATCCAGGGGAGTTGGACAATCCAGTGGTGGCCATGAAACATCGTTATCAGTAACGTAATCCGGGCCAATCAGTGCCTCACGCATTATCAAAACACGTAGTTCGTCCGCCAGCAATAAGCTATTAATCCTAAATAACCTTGTCGCGCAGACTGAGAATTTCTCGAACAATCTTATTTCCTTCCTCGTTCCCTCCCCCCTTTTCTTCGACCACATCCGCCTCCTTTGCTTCCGCTCTCCCATTGAACTTTCGTCGACCGCCAGAATCTTTTTTAAAGGAATTGCTCATAATTCAGCAACTCATAAGACTAAAAGTCTGGGGCTAAAAAAACAACATATAAATAAATGGCCAACGCACGGGCTGCCCGTGCGAAGATGCGTTTTTTGCAGAGTTCCCCGCA